GGGCCCCCGAGGCCAGCGCATCCCGGCTGCCCCTGCCCTTGCTGCCCAGGTGGGGCGAGGAGGAGGGCGAGTCATCGATGTAGGGCAGTCCGTCCTGGTGTCGGCGCTGCTCCTCCGCCTGGTCCGCGGCGCAGCCATAGCCAGGCGGCGTTCCGAAGGACGTGTCTGTGTGAGAGAGGTGGCCTGTGTCAGAGATGGGGGTGTGGGGGGTGGGGGGTGGACAGGGCACACTGAAGGGCCAACAACATCCCACCTGTCCCAGCAGGGACCCAGCTGACGCCATCTGCCACCTGCAGGCACCAAACAGGGACCTCAGGCACACGGACCTCACCTTCACAACCGCCTGGCCACAGACCCGGGGCGCGGAGGGGACGGACAGCAGCTGCGCCCAGACAGTATGAGACTGGGCTTCCGAACGCCGCCTGGGACACATGCTCCTTATCCCGGGAGGGGCCCCGAGCCATCACAGAAAGGCGGACCCCGAATGCTAGTGTTTTGCCGTCAGGACAGTCCCTCAGACGCCTGTCCGTGGGGGAGTGACAGGGTGGGGAGCACAGGCCAGCACCGCGGCCCTGTACAAGCCACGGCCACCCCACGCCGCGCCCCTCATCTGCCGGGCCAGCACACCCGGACCCCCGTCAGAGTGCCTATGAGGACCGAGAACGGCTCACCCCACAACACGGTCCCCCTCCTGGGGACTGTCTACGTCAGAGGGCAGTCCCTGCCTCCCAGCTGAAGCAACCCGCTTCCTTCCCTCCAGGCTGAGTCCTAAAGCCACACCCCGTGGGCTTTCTGTAGCTCTGCTCCCAGACCCTGCACCAGGACATGGCCCCACAAGGCCCCGCCTGCTCCAAGCCCACAGGAGGGCCCCTTCTGGGCTCCACAGGCACGTTCACGGCCCACAGGGTTCCCGAGAGGTGGCGCCAACTGGGTCATGTCCCCGATGACATCACTCCCGTCATGACTCACCTGCACGCAGCCCCACCTAAGGGTCACTGCCAGTGATCACTCACCTGCTTCCAACTTCCGCCCCACACCCCCCCACCCTGGGCTCCGGCCATGGGTGCTGCTGGTGCCCACGCCACCCAGGCCCAGTGGGCAGAGGGGACATCCCTTTCCGTTCTTTCCATATGTGCAGCGGGAGGAGCGGTGGCCGGGGTGGCCTGGTGGTCACTGCAAGCTAAGAATGGCCAGCGTGCTGGGTGACGCCTCTGCCCAGCTTCGGGGCCCCCGGACGGCCAGTCCCCGCCGCCTCCCACGCCTCTGCCACTCCCAGCAGGTCACACACTGCCCAGCAGGTGTCCCGAGCCTTGGCTACAGGCCAGCGATACCTGGGGAGCTTTGAAAACAACACAGTCGCCGAAACCGGTTTGGC